GGGGTGGCGGGCGCCGGGGCGGCGGGGGTGGCGGGCGCCGGGGCAGGGTGTGAGGGCGCATGCTCCGGAGAGCCCTCCACCTGGAGGTCGGGAAGGGCCCCCACACCCCCAGAGGTGTTTGGGCTTTGTTCGTCACTTGTGGTCTGAGGGAACGGGCGCTTGGTGTGGGCCCGGTGCAGCCCCCCGACACCCCCGTGGTCTGAGTGGGCTTCAATTTGTTCATTAGAGTTGGGCCTTCAAATCTTAATTAAGATCGTGACCAATTCATATGCCTGCAAAACCCTGCGGAGCAAGAGATGTTACGTGGGTTCAGTGATGCTCAAACCCCACGGGTTTAGTGTGGGACGTGTGTTTAGGGAGAGGGTCAAAGCTTTCACCAGATGCTCACATAACTCCAAAAGAGTAAGAACTTGCACTTAGGGTCTAGAGTCTCACGGTCTAGAGGGGTCCTTTTCTCAGTCCGTACCAGCGTGATTTCCCCCATGGGAGTTCAGACAGTATTTAAATGGTTAAAAATAATTGCACTTCTAGGTCCACTTTATAGGTGAGAAAACTGGGGCACAGAGTCTAAGGGACTAGCCCAAGATGACATGGAGCTACATTTCCATTGGGCTCAGGTTTTTTTTCTTTTGTCATCCTTAACGCCTCTGCAAATTGTTCATGTGGAGATGCCTTTGTAACTGCCATCTCAGTGGAAAGGGTCAACGTGTTAGATGGTGGAGGAGGGTGATGTTAAGGAGAGCCTGTATCACTGAAACGTGTCACCTGGGGTTGGGGACCATGCCCGGGCCAGGGTCATGGCCATGGCCAGAGTATTGAGAAAAGGGAGCGCAGGGACTGTTTTCCTTTAACAAATGTGGTCTTCTGTGCGGGACTCCAGACATTTTCCCTCCAATCTTGGTGTTAAGAGGGAACTGAAAAGAAAGGTCAGCTGGGCTCTGCCTCTGCTGCATTGTCTCTCGAGTGTTTCCAGTCAACCTTTTAGAGTAATGAGTTTTGTTTATCAGGAAGTAAAAGATTCTTACCGTGATGCTGAGATTCACCCAAGGAGGTAGTCACGGAGAGAGAGCATGTGCAGTGGACTGGCCAACACACCATCAGGAGACTGAGGGTCCAACGAATGATGCTCTTCTGTGCTTCATGGAAAGTGCACACCTCAAGCTTTAAGTCACTTTCACTTTTAGCATCCGTCGGTCCAGGGTCAAGGCCAGGCCCAGGCTGTCCCATTGCGTTCCCAATGCCTTGCCCTAGGTGGGCATTGCCCCGAGTCCTGGGTGAATCCCTGGTGCCGGGTTCCTAGACTCCAGGGGAAGCGCCTGGGAGCAGTCCAGTCCTGAGAATCCTGTCTGCTGCCACAGGCCAGCGGCCGTCCCCAGCTCTTTTCAGAAAGAGACTTTTTACTGAGAGTTTCGCAAGCCTCGCCGCCTTTCAGGGCTGTTGGAAGGTTTGTATGAGAGCAGCTGCCAGGAGTTGTCTGAAGCCGTGTTGCCTTCAGTTACCTCAAAGCGGCAGATGTTGGGCTTGTGAAAGATGAACCCCAAGTACTTGTATGGTTGAGGGACAGAGTTGCCTTGAGGAAAAGCTGTGTATTTTTATAAAACATTCTTAGGATTTCAGTCTCGGGAAATGCTCTCTCCAAGGACCTCAGGTTTCCGTGTAGTTGTATCAGATGAGCGTTTTACGACCCTCTAGGTTTGATGCAGCCCGAATTACCTGTGAACTTCATAACCCTGTAGGTAAAGCGAGCAGCCTTGGCTGACTCCTAGAAGACAGGTGAGTGTCACAAGCTGTCCAGGTCTTTGTAGTTCTTCTAGTTTTGGGTTGCTCAGGTTTTGTGGGCCCTGAGACAACTCTGTTCTGTCTGAAAGGACCAAGTAAATACAATTGAAAACTGAGCTTGAAGCCTGTCTTAGTCGATATTGATAGCCCACTAGGGAATAGTCATTGCGGCCCTTTCTCTGAGTGGTCTTCCCTCCGCTGAGAGCGACAGCCTTCTAAATGGATGCATGTTAAAGACTGACTCTCAGCCTCGTAAATATGCTCCTGGCACTTGGGCAGTAATTCAAAGATCGCTTTGGACCAGAAACCCCATTTTGTTGATTGAGGAAGCTCAGAGCGTGCGCCCTGGCCAGCGAAATTCACCCATCCTGTTGGGAGACTGTTCTCCCAGCTTTTCTGCCACATGATATTTAGCCATGGGCAGTATGTCTGCTGATTTCATCCAGAAAACAATCTCTTGACCCATCGGTGACGCCCAGGTTACACCTGGGAGGGTCCTGTAACCTCTGGTGCTTGCATCCCTGGCAGCTGTCCCTGGGGTTCCTCTGGATGGAGCCCCCCGCATCCGGGGTCTTTCCCGCCTGTGGGCGGGTTCAGCTCTGTGACAGAGAGGGACATGGGCTGTGATTTTTTTTTTTTTTAATTTTATTTATTTATTCATTTCTGGCCACGTTGGATCTTCGTTGCTGTATGTGGGCCTTCTCTGGTTGTGTCGAGCTGGGGCTACTCTTCCTTGTGGTGCGCGGGCTTCTCACTGCGGCAGCTTCTCTTGTTGCAGAGCACGGGCTCTAGGCGCGCGGGCTTCAGTAGTTGTGGCTCGCGGGCTCAGTAGTTGTGGCTCGTGGGCTCAGTAGTTGTAGCATGCGGGCTCTAGAGCACAGACTCAGTAGTTGTGGTGCACGGGCTTAGTTGCTCCACGGCACGTGGGATCTTCCCGGACCAGGGCTCGAACCCGTATCCCCTGCACTGGAAGGCGGATTCTTAACCACTGCACCACCAGGGAAGCCCATGGCTATGATTTTTAAGTGGGTGTTAGGAGTTCTGGTCCTTACTTGAATTTTTTATTTCATATAAGGTGGAGGGAAGAATTGAATTATAAGCAGCCGACAGCAAAGAGTTATATAGATGATAACATCTAACGTGTGAGGAAATGAGGCCCATGACAAAAACACAGTTAAGGTACGGCTTACCACCCTCCTTGGACCACTGTCACTGGAGGAAACACAGTTGACCAGTGTTGATCAACGTTTCCCACAAACACCTTGTGTCAGAAGGCTTGGGGTTTTGTATAAATGCTCAGCTGGCTCGATGGGCCAGTACACATAAACCCTTGTCCACTTGTGCAGGTGCTGGCATCTCCAGGTCACAGAGGAGACCCTGCTCATGCCCAAGGCGATGGCAGCTAGTTCTGGCAGAGCTGCAGGTCCCGCAGCAGCCAGCAGCACTGCTGACCTGTTGCTGTGCTGAGCGCCCTTTGGTGTGGAGTGGTTTAGCCATATCTGCCCACCTAGGGGCCGGTGGGCGCAGTCTGGCCTGAGGTCACGGCTCTTCCGGAGTCCTCTCCCCACCGTCTGGCCTGGTAGCTCATTCCACGGTGCTTTGGTCCATTCTGAGTCTCTGCTGCCCCTCCACGCAGACCTGAGGAATAGTGGAGAGCAAGTCAGTATTGTGCGCAGAGACCCAGGGCTGCTCCTTCCACTGGGAACTTGACAATCCCCTGATGCTATTTGTCTCCTGCAGTAGACCTGCAGAATGTTCCAGCCAGGCCCGCCAGTTAAACAAAGAAGGGGAGATAACCAGGGGAAACTCGGCTCCCATTCAAGTAATTGGAGTCTGGGTGCTGTGGGGTTGGACTACCCCAATTAAGGTCATTCTCTGAATAATTGAAATGTGGCGAAGTCATCCTCCAGTCCTGGCTGCTTTGTCGCCCCTTTGCATTGCTGACCGTGGGCACGCCCTGTAGATGGACCGTCTGCCTCCAGCCCTGTACTCGTGGCCGAGCCGGCGAGCATGACAGGACCGGCGGGGGGTGGGCGGGGTGTGCCCGTGACATCGGGTTTGGGTTGCCCAGAGTTCCCTAAGAAACGGAATGCCCCCCATAAGGATGTGTTCCTCTTACACATGCATGTACTGGGCTGCCAGAACGTACCGCCAGGGCAGTCACTGTGTAGGGGTTAGAATGACTGGATTTGCAGCTGTGTGGCCTTTTTTTCCCTCAAAACCTTCCAAGAATGCTTCTGTAAACCGAAGGAAAACTCCTTTGCTTTTAATGTCCTGGGATGCTGATGATGTAAAGGATGAAAGCAGAGCGGGAAGTTACTGCTTCCCTTGCCTGTGTGGAACTAAGTGGAGCCTTCAGAGGTGGATCTTTGACTAACAGTCAACTTTAAAGAGTGTACCGGGCATCTCAGAATCGAAGGGAAGGGCTGAGCACAGAGCGAGTGCCACCTGGACTCAGACAGTGGCCTTTTGAAGTGGCACATGCTCCCCCTGTGACAGTGAGAGCGTGTGGCCCTAGTGATGGAGGATGGGGACTGAGGTATACTGGCAGGGCCACTGGCCATCGGTCCCCTGGCTCTCGGCCAGCAGTGAGGTCGAGCCCATCGGAGGCTGCCCCGTCTGATCCGCCAGCCCCACGTGGGTCTTCCTCCCTCTAGTGGAGGAATGAACACGGGTCTCTGCTGTTTTCCCCCGTGGAAGGCTCCTGGCAGCGAGGGCAGTGCACAGGGAGGATAGGAAAGTCAACCGATGGGATCTCTGTGCAGAGATGCCCCAGGCCCCCGAAGCCTTCAGGTCCATGTGTGGTATGCTGTGCTTGCAGCGGCAAGATGCAGCCTTGGCCCTGAGGACAGCGGTTTTAACACTGACTCCCTGTGTGACACAGCAGGCCTATTGCAAATACCTGTACAAGGCAATCTGCAGAGTGGAGGGGAGGAATTGCATTTGGCTTCTTCTGTAGGCTTTTGCCAAAGATGTTTTAAAGAGAAATCAAAGGATAAAAACGACCCTGGGCTTAACCGATGAGCTGCCGGGGCAGGTTCGGGATTCCACGTATGGAAGGGGCTGGCGAGGTGTCCCTCTGTCCACTGTGTGAACCGCTGAGGGACAGCATTAACAATGAATTATTTTGTTTCCTGCTGTCGTTGGACAGATTTGGGAAGCTAGAAGCAGCGTTACAAGCTAATTCTTTCTCCCTCTCTCTTTGTCTCTGTAGAAACTTGAAGGGTCTAAGTGCAAAGGGCAGCTTTTGATTTTTGGGGCAACCAACTGGGACTTGATTGGTCGAAAAGAAGTGCCTAAACAACAAGGTATGAGAAACAATTTCTAAAGAATAGAAGACGCTACTATTGATTGAGTGCTTCCTGTGTGCTAGGTGTCCAGTGTGATTCTGGTGACTGTCCGCCAGGTAGGTATTCTCTTTACAGAAGTGCTCAGAGAGGCCAAGCGATTTGCCCAGGGCCACACAGCCACTCCAGTGATGGGGCTGAATTTGAACCCGGGTCTTGGGCAAGTCTCTCACTTGGGTACAACTCTGCTTTTGAAAATTCCATTGAGATTAAACAGAAGAATATAAGTAGTAGCCTCAAATAAACCTCGACACTTTTTTTCCCATCTTCTCATGTCACTTATTTTCATTAAAATGAAGAGGCTGGTGCTGTGGAATGTCAGAATGTCCTCGATATTTGTCACGTGTCAGATGGCGAACTTGTTAGACGTTTCAAAAGAGTCCACGTTTCCTTGCAAACTGCCAGATTGTTGCGGGAACTGGTTGGACAGAGCAAGTAGCAGTCTGGAGTGGAGGAAGCAGTGAAATCCTAAGAAGTATCTTAGCCCCCACATGTTTTTAGAAAATTGGTGTCTTTTCTCAGGAGAATACTGGCCCATCCAAGAGAAGTAAGGCTGGTACTTTGCCATGTTTTATGGCTTCTTGATTTCATTTGGAAAGATTCCCAAAGTACTTTCCAGCATTGCCCGGTGGACAGATATTTGCACACTGACACTCCCTGGGGCCTCAGGATGGGCGGTGGAGATGACCTTAATCCATGAAAACAGCGGGCGGGGTTTCAGCAGCACTCAGAGTCCAGATGAGTTAGAAATGGGTTTGAGCCATTTTCTTCCGGTTGGGAAAAGTGCCCAGCCTTCAGGACCAAGCTCTCAGCCTGAGCTGCCTGATGGCTGGTGTCACCTGGAACCTCTCCTGGGACGTGATAACATCAGTCTCCCTGCCAGCCCTGGCGCAGGTGTCGCATTGTCTCTCCAAGCTGTTCTTTAAGTGAGTGGCCCACTTGCAATTAGAGACACGCAGGCCCCAAGCGGGAAGCAGATTCCAGAGGGGAACCCATGGCAGAGCAGGGCTGCCTCTAGTTGAAGGAATTTTGCCGCACTTGGGCTCATTTTAAGAGTGCCTTTTTGTCTTCTCCGAGGCCCACCTTTGCTTCCCGGATGTTTCTCCCTCTGAATGAAGTTTTATGTAATTAAACAAAAATTTTAAAGTCTTGCAGTGTCTTTCGGCTCTCTGTGAACTAGCCAGTAGACATGATGGGAAGGGAGGGAGAATTTGTTTTCCCACGGGCGCCAAACATGAAGGGAAGGATTTCCCCTCCCGCCCTCACCTTTCCCAGCCCCTCCCATTCGCGAAGCTGCCTTCCTTCCGAGAGCCCATCGGCCCTTGGGTACGCATCACTGGATCTCATAAAGTCAGCAGCATCCTTCGTTTTCAAGATAACACAGTGATTTTGTGCTCCACCTCTGACCAGGACCAGGCCCTGGGCATTAACGACCTCCAGCCAGGCCGAGTGGCCCGGGACTGCTGCTCTGCATTTCGTATGACTAGGATCCCTCTGAAGGTTCCTTGGGAGGCCCCGAGAATCCCTGTCTCTCATGAGTTGATGACATCTTGGGCACTGACATTCGTGGAGCTCATGCAGGGAAGATGCTTTGGCAGATCAGACCATCCACTCAGCTGTGCGGGGGTCCGCTTAGCCACTCTGGGTCAGCTGTGGTGTCCCGTGGCATCTCCTGGCACTGCGTGTCGTCCACAGGCGTGGCACACAGCAGTCATGCCACCATGATGCGCAGACGTTAGCATAGGTGTGAAGGCTGTCATCTCTGGTTTGCTCTTTCCCAGGAAATTGCTGGGTCTTCTTTCACCTTTCAGTGGTAGAGCAGCGTCTTCGGGTGGAGAAGCTCAGGGGTGCCCTGAATCACGGTAGGGAACTTCCCTCTCTTCCCTGACCCGCCCCAGGTAGTTAAATGAGCGGCCGCGCCCGGCACCCTCTGCTGGTGGGGTGCTGGCAGGGTGGGGACGGACGGGGACAGTTCTGCAGACTTTCGCGTGGAGCCAGGTACTTGATGGAGAAGTTGACCTCTCAATCCGTTCCTGCATCCAGGTCAGTCTGACACAGTTGATTTTGGCAGCAGCTAGCATTTCATAATAGTCACCACGGACCTAAACATGGGCTCGTTTTTCTGTCCTTGAGAGCCCCACGTTGAGGAAATTAAGCCCCAGATCGGCCACGCCCTGTCCACTAACAAGGTGAAGTGGGGGGTGTGATGGAGGCGGCTGTCTCTCCCCGTCCCCCACGCCCTTGAACGGTCCCCAGTGCCCTGCCCCAGGCACGGGGAGGCCCTGGCCCTCGGGGTGGGAGGCACGGGACTTCAGTAGGGTAAGTGCTGTGACAGGATTCACAGGGCGCTGGGGTCCAGAAAGCAACGAGTTGAAAGGGGGATGTGGGCAAGGAAGTCTTCCCAGAGCCGGGGGTGTTTGACCTGAGGTGCGAAGAACAGAGGCAGGGGGCAGGGAAGGGCCTTCCGGGGGAGCAAATACGTGGGCGGAGCTAGGGGTCATGACTCGGCCAGCATGATGGGACCCCTGAGAAAGATGGGGTGCAGGCTCGGGCTTGGCCCCCAAGGGAGCCTCGTGGCTGCAGGCCCCCAGCCCCTCCCCACCCCCAGGTAGAGGGCCGGGAGGGAGCTGTCGGGAGGGTGAGGGAGACTGGGGGCCTGCTACCTGCTCTTTGGGGTCGGCCCCCAGCCCGGCGGGGCTGCAGGGTGGAGGTGGTGGCACCTGCTTTTCGGCCGCTGGCTTTTTGGCACATTGGGCAGGTGGGTTCGGGCCAGAGACGGAGGTGGGGCGGTGTCTGTGCAGATGGCCACTGATGGGTCCACACCGCTGGTGCGCTGCCCCGGGAGCCCCCGAGGGTGTGCTTTACGTGGGGAGTTGGGGGTCGGCCCTCTGGCTGGTGACACTGGGGCAGCTCTCAGCACCCACCGGGGCTCTGCGGCCATTTGACATGTGTTCCCTTTGCCTTCGCAGCCGCCTACCGCAACCTCGGTCAGAACTTATGGGGGCCCCACAGGTACGGGTGCCTTTCGGGGGTCCGGGTACGGACGGTGGTGTCGGGGTCATGTGCCGCCCACAGTCTCCTCATCACCACGGAAGGGAAGCTGTGGAGCTGGGGTAAGTACCACGGGGACGCAGCGAGACCCGTGGCGTGGCCCGTGGGTGGGCTCCCTTCCCCCATCCCCTGGAGGGGAGACCCTCGTCCGCCCTCCGGGGCTGTGCCGTCCGCCCTCCGGGGCTGTGCCGCTTGCTGTGCGTTTCCTCTCTTCCTGATGCCCAGCTAGTCTGTGCCCCGTGAAAACGTCACTCCCTCCCCTCTTCTGCCAGGTTTTGGTCTGTACGTAACCCCCCATTTCTCTGAATCCTTTCTTTAGGCAGCCTTTTCCCGAACGTTCTGACTGACTCTGGATCTGATATCGAGGTGTGCCTAGTATTGAATTCCTATTTTAGGTGTGCTGTCCCCCCAGCACACAGCACAGTGTGACGTAGACCTCTGTTCTTGCCACTTTAAATGCCACCAGCTTTTACGTCTGCCACGTGGTGACACCAGCCTGAGTCTATGTTCCTCTGTTTCCTGTTCCATCGCCCCAGAGAGTTGAGTTTGCTCTTTCCAAGGTGATCTGCTTGCCCTGCTTCTGGACTCCCTCGCCTGGGTGCTGGGGGACGCTCTCCTTGTCTTCTAGCCTCCCTTCCCTTTCAGGGTCCCCCGCAGAGTGCTTCCACTGCCGCCTGCCCTGTGTCCTCATCCAGAGCCTTCACACAGGTCCCGGCTGGGGCTCAGTTGCCCCCACGCCCTCTGCTGCCTCCTGGACTCTTCCGCAGACGGTGTTGGCGGTTGTCCTCAGCCTTTGTTTCTGGCCCTCTGGCTAGCTTTGGGTCCATAAGACTGCATTTTTATTTCGGGCTGTTTGAACCTTTTTTTTTTTTTTGCAATTTCATGAGTGGCTGTACCAAAGTCCAAATACATTAACATCTGTTGTCTTCCCTGCACTCTGCTAATTTTGTAATTCTGTTGAAAAAAAGCTAACAAGTGTGTCTGGCCCAAATTTAAACTTCATAGTTTCTTGGTGACACGCTGACATTGCCGCGATTTTCGTTTGCTTCCAGTTGGCGCAGGGTTGTGTCCCTCCCGCAAAACCCCCTTCTGCCCACTGCGCCAACCCTGAACGCAGCCTCCTACGTCGGGGTTCCCAACTTCAGTTGTCCTCTTTCTGGTCTCTTTACTGAATGTCACTTCCGTGTTGCTTCTAAAAACATCCCCTCTCCTGACCCCCTGGGCAGGGAATGATTCTAAAAGCTGTGCGTCTGACCTGCCCCAGAACAAAGACGTGTCCCATGAGCAGACTCGCCGCTTTAGGGGGGATGAGCCAGTGGGAGTGTCATGTGTCCACAGTGAGTCCCTGGAAGGCTCAGGGCCCAGTCCAGCGCCCGAGAGCCTTAGTGCTGCGGCCCGGAGCTCACGGGGTCTGCACCCGTTGACCATCTGGGCCTCTCGAGCCGAAAAACCGCATCCGGTGCTCATTCGTGCCTTTCACAGTGAACTTGGGCAGTTTCCGCTAGAAGCTGGTGTCTGCCTGTCCTGCTGGAGCGCCATAATCAAAGCCTGAGGACGGTTTTCCTGTAGTAACGGCGGCTGGTCACCCCTTCTCGAGCCCTGTCCAGGACAGTTGAGGCTCATCTTTGTGGCTCTGCTCCCCCTCTTTCATGACTGCAAGGTCAAAGTTCATTGTTGGGGAAGGATGTGGAAACCTCCCCCACGTTCCGAATTGCCTGGCTTTCTGGCCCCATAAAATCTCCCGAAATGTTCGGTAACAAGTGTGGTTCTTCTCTTAGAGGTACCTGGGAGAGGCCCACTGAGGTGCTGAGTTTAGAACCCTTGTAGCCTGTGTTGAAAACTAGGTACAGTTTAGGGGGGCCAGCCTTCCGGCCCCCCAGCTCTCCACACCTGCTTTGAGCTGCAGGGCTGTGTCGGGACAGGACTGTGGTGCAGAGGGCCTGGCAGGTCTCGGCCTCCGGCACCCCCCGATTCCACACCAGCACAGCCCCAGAGGTGGAGGTCAGCCCGTGGCCAGGGAGGGCCTGTGTTCAGAGCAGGCCTGGCCTTTGGCCGTCGCTGGGGTTCACGTGGTTAAGGGTCCTGCGAAGGCTGCTCCATGGCAGGTGGGCTTAGAGAGGAGAGAAATACAGGGTCCACGGTAGACGCCTGGGGCGCTGAGGGAATCAGACTCCTGTGAGGCAGGTGTTACCGTCTTAAAATACCTCTGAAGCGAATGAAGGAATTGGCGTCTGGCAGGTGTGGTGAGAAGTGAGAGCTGTGAGCTCCCCTGAGCTCGTCCGCTTGTGTGTACCATCCAGGTGGAACCTGGTTTTCTTCCATTTCCCTCGGGGGCAGAGAGCTGGCGAAAGTGCTCCGATCTGTCCCAGCCACTGCCCCAGAAAAGAGGGTCAGAGCAGGTGAGGTGGTGGCTGGTAGCTGCACGCCAAGGCGACTCTGGGGACAGCCCTACGTATCTCATCTAGTCACCCGACCCCACCGGCAGGCTTGAAAGGCTGGCATTGCCTGCGGAGCCGGGCTTGTGGGTTTGGAGGGCGCCTTCTGGGAGACCCAGCCTCGCCCAGCAGCTGCTCCAGCCGCCCTCTCTCCTCCCCGCTTTATCTATCCTGCTCCTGACCCGCAGGGCGAAATGAGAAGGGCCAGCTGGGCCATGGCGACACCAAGAGAGTTGAAGCCCCCAGACTCATCGAGGGGCTCAGCCATGAGGTGATCGTGTCCGCGGCGTGTGGGCGGAACCACACCTTGGCCTTGACGGGTAAGGAAGGGCCGCTTCCCTCGAAATGGGGTCAGAGGTCAAATGGTCCACCTGGGGCGGGGGGTGGGGCTGCCGCCGTGACCCATGGTCATGATCAGAAAGATGCCCAGGGAGCCCGCTGGTCAGCTGCTTGAGGCATCGGGAGCCTCGCCCACGGGCACCAGTGGCTGGGGCAGCGGGAGGCTCTCTGCTGGGGAGTGGGTCTGCTCTGAGGTATCCACCCCACCCCGTTTTGGAGAGTTGTCTCACTTGCATTCTTCCTGGCAAAAGAGCTGTTTTTATTATTTTAGAGCCTTTGATTCCAAGTCTAGTTCTGAATACTCAGCATTATTTTCCCTTTGGTGATGAATGTTGTTCTTTCCTTCCAGAAACGGGCTCCGTGTTTGCGTTTGGGGAGAACAAGATGGGGCAGCTGGGCCTCGGCAACCAGACGGACGCCGTGCCCAGCCCCGCACAGGTGCCCGCCCTCCTCCGCCTTCAGGGCCTTTGTTTCTCGTTGCTTTGGGGTTGTATTTTCTGGGGTGAGATCAGACATTCCTCTCCATTGTTTGAGTTACTGGGTCCCTTGTAAAAGCAGGATCTCGATGCTTTGAGTGGGTCAGGTTTAGTAGATGTTCACAGGTGAAGAACATCTCTAGAAACAGTTTTTCATTCCGACTGAAATAACTTGTTCCAGAGGCCTGTTTGCAGCCTGTTCTATTCCAAAGTGAGAATTGTTACGTGGATGTGATTGGTCTTTATCTGAGAATACTCTTGAATTTTGACTTTGTAACAAGTCACCGGCCAGGTACTTAGAACACAAATAGGAGGTCGGTCGTCTCTTATTCCTGAGAAACTTTGGAGTCATTTGGAGGAGTGGGATTTATACCTCAAAAGTGAACTACTGACATAAGGCAGCAGGATGCTACATTGAGTGTCTGACGAGGGAAGGGACTTGGGTTTCATGGTCTAAAAAAATAGACCTTGACCTTGTCCAAACATACCTGTAGTTTGGAGGATTTTCGAGGTGTTGCTGTTTTCTTAGCCATTTGCTCTGCAGTGGAATGTGACGGTTTCCAGAGTGAGCTGGCGCCGGGACAGAGCCCGGGACTCGGCATCCCCCATCGCCTTTCCCCGTGATTTCCCTACTTTGCGCCCTCCAGTTCGCCCGGTCTGGCTTTCCCAGACCGATTAGTTTGCAATAGCGAGTCTTCTAAGCACTTTCTCAGATTTGTTTCCAAATCCCATGCCAAATTACTCAGGGCCTTTGCTGTCTTCCAAGTTCCTAATTTCGAACCATTATATTTCTTCTTCACACCTTCAATTAAGGCTAATTAGCAAGCGGCTCTTAACAGTAGTAAAAGAGAGTGTAAAACAGTTCATTTTACTGGTTGGCAATAACGCTTATAAAAGCTTTTCTTTTTAAAGTTGCGTGACATCAAAACTAGTGACTAGCTGGAGTGGGATTTGGGAACTACATGTGATTAGTTTTGTTTTCTGACACCTTCGTGCCCACGCCAGTCAGTTGAATTCAGCATTCACTGGGCACCAGGATGTGTGAGGCACAGCGTTGTGCATTTTGAGGGTTACAAAGACTCGGGGACATGATTTGCTTGTCTGAACTGACTTTATACTGGGAGGTGTTTCTTTACATACATTCTAAGCCTTTGCCTTCAGCGTTGTTGGGTCCGTTAGAAGAGTCCTTTGTAGCCTAGTAATTGTTTCACACCAACCTGTGGGGAGGTAGAGACTTTATCAATCTTTAAAAAAAAAAAAAAGTCTAAAAGTCTGCTGTCTTTTCTTTTCAGATAATGTACAACGGGCAGCCAATTACCAAAATGGCCTGTGGGGCTGAATTCAGTATGATAATGGACTGCAAAGGAAACCTCTATTCCTTTGGGTGCCCTGAATATGGTCAGCTGGGTATGCAAAGTACATTTTTTAAAAGCTCTGTAATCTAACTGTATGTTTAGAACCAGAAGTCAGTGTGGGGCTTGCACACACATGGTAGAAATGTGGGTAATTGATCGCAGATAATAGCCTTGATCCATTAAGTGGATGTCCTGGTTAGTGGACCAGCATGTCATAATTCATGGGGTTGTGGAGTCTGACAGTGACTTGCCTTAATGAAAGTCAGGGCTTGCGTCTGACAAAGGTTTTTTTTCTGATTTGGGAATTCATTTTTGTATAGAAGGATATCAAAGCTTTTTTTTTTTTTTTTTTAATCAAACCACCTTCATTCATTTTCATATTTAAGGATTTGCCTTCATTGAAAGTGAGGAAATTATACAAGAATAAGGTTGTTTTGAAAACCTCGGCCTGAGCCATTATTTCAGGTATACACGTGAAGAGCCCAATATCTTGAAAAAGTGGGATTGTTTTCCGGATTTTCACCCCTAAACAGAAGGGATGAAATTTACTTATTATTCATTGAGAAAACTCAGCAGGTAGTTCTCATCAGTTCTCAGTGCGTGGAAAATGACTCTCCATCCTGACTTTACAAGGTCTCCATTTTCTTTTCCCATCTGACACCGAAGTGTTTTTTTTTTTCCCCTTCCTGGCGTCTTCCCACCTTCCAGCTCCTTCCAAGTGGGAGGTGAGGAGTGGGCGCCCTCTTCTGGCTCCTGAGTTTCCCGCTGCTCTGGATCCTCTGCAGCTCCTGGATCTGGGTTGCCTGGGTCTCCACGTCATTAAAAGCAGGCAGATGGAAGATAGTATAAATAGAACGAGGAGCATCTCGCTGGCCTTTAGACTTTAGGGAACAGTGACTTTGTGAAACTAAATATACCTAAGTCAGAAGTGAATAAGAGAACAGCCCCATGCACATTCAGCTTTGGTTGCCAGGGAGTTGCCAGAGACTGTTGGAGAGGCCGTTTCCATGCAAGTTTCTGGTCTACTTCTGGAAACGTGTGCAGCCCCCCTGCTGTCTGTGGCTGCCCCAGATCTGCAGACAGGCAGCTTGTCGCAGCAGGTAGATTTTCCTTCAGGGAAATGAAATGCCCTTGGCAATGATGATGACAGCTAACATTTAGTGAGCAGTTACCATGAACCAGTCCCCATTGCAGCACTTTATACCGAATCTCATTTGCTTGGTTTACACTTGTTTAAAGGTATTTTGAGAAGTTGGCTTGATTTATATCTACAGAGGCAGTTAATCTTCCCAGTTTATTTTAAAACCGGTTTTCAGTGTGATTGTCCAAACCCAGAGAGATCCCTTTTCAGAACTAGAACTTGACCTCGGAAGGTGCATCCCCAGCGTGCACTCACCCCCGTGCTCGCTCCCACGACGTGTCAAGCAAGGCAGAGGCGAGAACGTACGTTTAACTCTGCTTTAACGACCATGATGATGTATTAGGTTACTGGTAATTCATAAAAAAGCAAGCCTGGGGGGCTTCCCTGGTGGTGCAGTGGTTGAGAGTTCGCCTGCCGATGCGGGGGACACAGGTTCGTGCCCCGGTCCGGGAAGATCCCACATGCCGCGGGGCGGCTGGGCCCGTGAGCCATGGCCGCTGAGCCCGAGTGTCCGGAGCCTGTGCTCCGCAACGGGAGAGGCCACAACAGTGAGAGGCCTGTGTACCACAAAAAAAATAAATAAAAAGCAAGCCTGGGAAAGTGGCTTGAACTTTTTTGTCCGTTCTCGGCCCATGCAGGGCTCCTTGAGGCCCCCAGGTGGGGCACAGAGAAGACCTTTCCTTTGGATCTGGAGCTTCCCACTTTTTTGGCCACAGCCCAGCCCAAACGTAGACTCGCAAAGAATTTTCACAAAAGTCCTCGTTACAGACAGTGTCCTTGGGTGTTTCTTACTCTGTTCTATTCCTTTTTCAAAAAAAGAAAAAACTGGTTTCAACCCACAGCACCAATTCTATGCCCCACAAGTTGGGTCGTGCCTCAGGTTGGAGGACACTACCTTGGTTGACAGGAGTCCCCACGAGGACCTGCCCAGCCAGGCTGGGCAGGTGCTCTGTGCTATGGCCGCTGCTGACGGCTGGCCCTGTGGTCGCTGCAGGACACAACTCGGATGGCAAGTTCATTGCCCGGGCGCAGCGGATAGAGTACGACTGCGAGCTGGTGCCCCGGCGAGTGGCGATCTTCATCGAGAAGACGAAAGACGGCCAGATCCTGCCGGTCCCGAACGTGGTGGTGCGGGATGTGGCCTGCGGCGCTAACCACACGGTAAGGCTTGAGCGTTTCTGGCCTTTCTTCTGGCTTCCAGGGTGTCACGTCAGTGGAGACCCTTGGCTTTGCAAAGCCAGGAACTGACCCTGGCCCCCTCGACATCCTGCCCTCCTCAAGGGCTTCACACCCTCAGTTGTCCCGGGGCGTCATTCTCACCTGACAGCTTCTCCGTGACGTCCACAGATGTAGCTGAACGCGCAGACGCTTTGGGTTGGGATCATACAGTAAGAGTTTTTCTGCGTTTGTCTTTTGTCTAATGGAACATCACGGATGTTTTTCCAGGTCGATAGACAATATCTCAGACGGGGTGTTGAACAGATTCAGTCATTAAGGGTGTTTCCTTAAAGGTCAATCTAGATAAACGGCAATAAAATTCTGTATGTGCATCTTTTTTTTTTTTTTTTCAGAGCCCAATATCTTGAAAAAGTGGGATTGTTTTCCGGATTTTCACCCCTAAACAGAAGGGATGAAATTTACTTATTATTCATTGAGAAAACTCAGCAGGTAGTTCTCATCAGTTCTCAGTGCGTGGAAAATGACTCTCCATCCTGACTTTACAAGGTCTCCATTTTCTTTTCCCATCTGACACCGAAGTGTTTTTTTTTTTCCCCTTCCTGGCGTCTTCCCACCTTCCAGCTCCTTCCAAGTGGGAGGTGAGGAGTGGGCGCCCTCTTCTGGCTCCTGAGTTTCCCGCTGCTCTGGATCCTCTGCAGCTCCTGGATCTGGGTTGCCTGGGTCTCCACGTCATTAAAAGCAGGCAGATGGAAGATAGTATAAATAGAACGAGGAGCATCTCGCTGGCCTTTAGACTTTAGGGAACAGTGACTTTGTGAAACTAAATATACCTAAGTCAGAAGTGAATAAGAGAACAGCCCCATGCACATTCAGCTTTGGTTGCCAGGGAGTTGCCAGAGACTGTTGGAGAGGCCGTTTCCATGCAAGTTTCTGGTCTACTTCTGGAAACGTGTGCAGCCCCCCTGCTGTCTGTGGCTGCCCCAGATCTGCAGACAGGCAGCTTGTCGCAGCAGGTAGATTTTCCTTCAGGGAAATGAAATGCCCTTGGCAATGATGATGACAGCTAACATTTAGTGAGCAGTTACCATGAACCAGTCCCCATTGCAGCACTTTATACCGAATCTCATTTGCTTGGTTTACACTTGTTTAAAGGTATTTTGAGAAGTTGGCTTGATTTATATCTACAGAGGCAGTTAATCTTCCCAGTTTATTTTAAAACCGGTTTTCAGTGTGATTGTCCAAACCCAGAGAGATCCCTTTTCAGAACTAGAACTTGACCTCGGAAGGTGCATCCCCAGCGTGCACTCACCCCCGTGCTCGCTCCCACGACGTGTCAAGCAAGGCAGAGGCGAGAACGTACGTTTAACTCTGCTTTAACGACCATGATGATGTATTAGGTTACTGGTAATTCATAAAAAAGCAAGCCTGGGGGGCTTCCCTGGTGGTGCAGTGGTTGAGAGTTCGCCTGCCGATGCGGGGGACACAGGTTCGTGCCCCGGTCCGGGAAGATCCCACATGCCGCGGGGCGGCTGGGCCCGTGAGCCATGGCCGCTGAGCCCGAGTGTCCGGAGCCTGTGCTCCGCAACGGGAGAGGCCACAACAGTGAGAGGCCTGTGTACCACAAAAAAAATAAATAAAAAGCAAGCCTGGGAAAGTGGCTTGAACTTTTTTGTCCGTTCTCGGCCCATGCAGGGCTCCTTGAGGCCCCCAGGTGGGGCACAGAGAAGACCTTTCCTTTGGATCTGGAGCTTCCCACTTTTTTGGCCACAGCCCAGCCCAAACGTAGACTCGCAAAGAATTTTCACAAAAGTCCTCGTTACAGACAGTGTCCTTGGGTGTTTCTTACTCTGTTCTATTCCTTTTTCAAAAAAAGAAAAAACTGGTTTCAACCCACAGCACCAATTCTATGCCCCACAAGTTGGGTCGTGCCTCAGGTTGGAGGACACTACCTTGGTTGACAGGAGTCCCCACGAGGACCTGCCCAGCCAGGCTGGGCAGGTGCTCTGTGCTATGGCCGCTGCTGACGGCTGGCCCTGTGGTCGCTGCAGGACACAACTCGGATGGCAAGTTCATTGCCCGGGCGCAGCGGATAGAGTACGACTGCGAGCTGGTGCCCCGGCGAGTGGCGATCTTCATCGAGAAGACGAAAGACGGCCAGATCCTGCCGGTCCCGAACGTGGTGGTGCGGGATGTGGCCTGCGGCGCTAACCACACGGTAAGGCTTGAGCGTTTCTGGCCTTTCTTCTGGCTTCCAGGGTGTCACGTCAGTGGAGACCCTTGGCTTTGCAAAGCCAGGAACTGACCCTGGCCCCCTCGACATCCTGCCCTCCTCAAGGGCTTCACACCCTCAGTTGTCCCGGGGCGTCATTCTCACCTGACAGCTTCTCCGTGACGTCCACAGATGTAGCTGAACGCGCAGACGCTTTGGGTTGGGATCATACAGTAAGAGTTTTTCTGCGTTTGTCTTTTGTCTAATGGAACATCACGGATGTTTTTCCAGGTCGATAGACAATATCTCAGACGGGGTGTTGAACAGATTCAGTCATTAAGGGTGTTTCCTTAAAGGTCAATCTAGATAAACGGCAATAAAATTCTGTATGTGCATCTTTTTTTTTTTTTTTTTCCCTTGGCCACTCGGCATGTGGGATCTTAGTTCCCCGACCAGGGATTGAACCCGTGCCCGCTGCACTGGAAGTCTTAACCACTGGACTTCCAGCGAAGTCCCTATATGTTCGTCTTTTTATCTTAGTTGCCTTCCTGTGGGTATTTTGCCTGAAAATGCCTGAGAGTCAGACTTGGTTCTCGTCTCGCTTGAAGGAGCAGGGCCCGGGGCTGAGAGTTCAGAGGCCGGTCGGTCTCCTGTGTGCAGGCGACTGGCTGAGTGACCTCAGGACTGGGAGCTTTCAGTCCCTTCAGGTCCAACAACTGATTCTCCCCTGTACGGCGTAGTCAGGAGAAATAGATCTTACTTAGGCCCCTGGTGTTAAATCATGTTAATAAGTTGTACATTCACACGATTCAAACATGAGACATCAGCGGTGCTGTGAAGAAAAGAAGATGGATTTTTAAAATTTTTTATTTTTTTAATTGAAGTGTAGCTGATTTACAATGTTGTGTTAGTTTCTGGTGTGCAGCAAAGTGACTCAGTTATACACATTCTCTTTCATGTTCTTTTCCGTTAACGGTTTGTTACAGGATATTGAATATAGTTCCCTGTGTTATACGTTAGGTCCTTGTTGGTTATCTGTTTTCTATATAGTAGTGTGTATCTGCTAATCTCAAACTCCTAATTTATCCCCTTCCTGCTTCCCCTTTGGTAACCATAAGTTTGTTCTCTATGTCTGTGAGTCTGTTTCGTAAATAAGTTCATTGGTGTCACATTTTACATTCCACATATAAGCGATACATGGTCTTTCTCTTTCTGACTTACTTCACTTAGTATGATATACTCTGGGTCCATCCATGTTGCTGCAAATGGCATTATTTTGGGTTTTTTTCATGGCTGAGTAGTATTCCGTTGTGTATCTGTGCCACATTTTCTTTATCCTTTCATCTTTCCATGGACATTTAGGTTGTTGCCATGTCTTGTCTATTGTAAATAGTGCTGCAGTGAACATAAGGGTGCATGTAAGAAGATGGACTTTAAGTTGTTGACATGTCACTGTGCACACTGCCCCTGTGACCAGGTGGAGGTCACCTGTGTGAACCCGCCTGAAGGAGAATCCAAGGTGGGCGGGGCTTTTCCTCTGGGCTCTGTCTGCAGTTTAGTCAGGATTGAAATAGGAAGTGGAGTGCAGTGGCCTGCTCTGGAGACATCACCCTTGTGTTTCTGATGAGGGAAGGGAGAAGACTTGTGGCTTTAATAATAATAATTTGTTAGGAATGGAAAATGGTGTCCCTGGCCGGGAAAACATCCTCGCCATGTGGACCCGCTGCTGGTGCCTCCCCTGTCAGAGGCCGGTGTGGGTCATCTTGAGTGTTTCTGCCCTTTGCCCTTAGCCCTGGCCACAGGCTCTCAGAACAGCAGCCATCCCACTTGTCCCCTGTCCCAGCCCTGCGTTTTCTCTCTCCTGCAGCTGGTCCTGGACTCCCAGAAGCGCGTCTTCTCCTGGGGCTTCGGTGGCTACGGCCGGCTGGGCCACGCCGAGCAGAAGGACGAGATGGTTCCCCGCCTGGTGAAGCTGTTCGACTTCCCTGGACGCGGGGCATCCCAGATCTATGCTGGCTACACCTGCTCCTTTGCCGTCAGCGAAGTGGGTCAGTGCTTCCCCGTCTGGGCCTCGGGAAGAAGGCATCCAGGGCCAAGTCACGGGTTTCCCTCCCTGGCTGTGTGCTCTGGTGGGGAGTCCCGTGACCTTTGCCCTGTTCAAGACCAGGGACCTTGACTTCATCGACCTCCTGGATTCTTTGGACAGAGCAGCTTGTGGTACCGGTGCCAAGCGCCGTGCCTGGCGGGTCCCGGTCCTCTTCCCTTTCTCCTTTGATGTTGCTGAGATGAGGATCCAGCTCTTGAGATGATGATGACAATGGAGACGCGTTTGTCTTTCCCAGGTGGTCTGTTTTTCTGGGGGGCCACAAACACGTCCCGGGAGTCCACCATGTACCCGAAGGCCGTGCAGGATCTCTGCGGCTGGAGAATCCGGAGCCTGGCTTGTGGGTATGTGGCTGTGTCTCCCAGTGAGCGGGGACGTCTCTCCCCATCCCGGGCATGTTGGACACACCCGGGAGGCGCCTTGTCCCTTGAGGGCTCCACTCTTCCCATGGGGCGTAGTGCGCACCAAATTCTAGAGTCAGGAAGGGAGGAAGGGGAGGGACTGTGCTTGGGGCCATCGGGGTTGGGAGGTCTTAGAACAGGTGACTTGCTTTGCTGCTTCTGAGGGTTTCGTTCTTCGAAGGCTTGGTGTGCTCTGTTCGTATTGCAGGTTCAAATCATATTTAGTTAGGAAATTTTAGTTACTGTGACACAGTGGGAACAAGAAAGTATCCTCAAGTCAGTGATTTTCCATTTATTTTGAGGACACCTGTTGAGGACACCTGTTGAGCTCTGTAGCACTTTTTTTTTTTTTTTTTTTTCGATACGCGGGCTCTCACTGCTGTGGCCTCTCCCGTTGCGGAGCACAGGCTCCGGAC